TGACCTTGCATACCCTCTTAGCATTCTGGCACGCTATGTTGCTCCTGGGAGACACAGACCAGAGCACATGGCTGCAGCAAAGAGGGTGTTGCGCTACTTGTGCAGTATGTCGGGCATGGGGCTTGTGCTTGGAGGGCAGAGTTCAGTGGTCCTCACTGGTCACGCAGACGCTTCTTGGGCTGACGACCAGGCTACGCAGCGGTCGTCACAGGGTTACACCTTCAGCCTTGGCTCCGGCTCTGTTTCGTGGCGGTCTACCCGCTCGTCTTCTGTTCTCGGCTCCAGCTGTGAGGCTGAGATCTACGCAGGGGCCATGGCTGCACAGGAGCTACGTTGGCTCACCTACCTGCTGACTGACCTGGGAGAGCCGCCTCGTTCTCCTCCAGTGCTGTACGTAGACAACAAGGCCATGCTGGCCTTGTGTCAGGAGCACAGACTGGAGCACAGAACGAAGCACATCGCTCTCCGCTACTTCCTTGCTCGTGAGCTGCAGCAGCGTGGTCAGCTGCGCCTTGCTTACGTGGCCTCTGAGGCCAACACTGCTGATATCTTTACCAAGGCACTCGCGCCTTGTGATCATCAGCGCTTCTGTACTCTGTTAGGTCTTGTGCCTACCTTGCCACACTTGCTTACTTCTTGACCTTGCTTGTACTGTTACATATATATACCTGCCCTTGCTTGTTTAGCGTTATATATATGTACCCTTGCATGTGAACTGGCCTTCTGGCCTTGAACTTGTGCTCAGACTGTGTGGTGACGTTGTGATCCACCCTGAGCTTGCCTTGCCCTGCTTTGCTTGACTGGTCTTGTGACCCCTTGTTCTCCCCCACTTTGCCTATGGGGGTGTGTCAAACTTATACACTATAGTCTGTGTAGGCTGTAGTGGGGTAGCTCATATGGGGTACAACATTCTAGGGTTTCATACTTGTACTCCTCATGCTGCTCAATGCATCATTCTCGTTCCAATTTTCACAAGTTGTGCAGCCGAACAGCGTGATTCATTGCAAACGGCCAATACTTGGTGGGGATGGCCGATTGCTTCATCAGGGCCCTCATTCTGGTAGAGAGGCTTCTGTTTGTCCGTTCTGCTACTCCTTGCTGCTCGTGAGCGTAGGGCAGGGACACCAGGTGCTCAATCCCCTTCTGCTTGAAGAGTTCCTTGAACTCAGTTGAGAAAAATTCCAAGCACACCGTCAATCTGGTAGCTTTTCAGCTTTAGTCCAATTGACGTTCGGCCCGCTTCATCCATGCCACGACGCACTCGAAGGCGAGGGAGCGGGAATCAGTGTTTACGGCCCAGACGTAACGTGTGCATGCGTTGATGAAAGTGAGCGTGTAGTACTTGCCATCGAGCCCTTCTTGACTGAGAACCATGAAGTCACCGTAGACTTTATCGAGCGGATTGTAGCGTTCGTAGCCAGGGGGTAGGTCAGGGAAGGGCTTGTGGGCAAGTGACGCGGCGGGGCACACGGTACACGGCGGATCTGCTGAGTCCGTTGTGAGAGATCCTCCGCGAGGGAGAAGCAGTGCGCCTTCGTCGAAGACTCCGGCCTTGAGTGATTTTTTTAGTGTAACGTGTGAAGGGTAGCCAAGTCGTTGATGCCATATTTCCGGCTCTGCACGATAACCAATGGTCCTCTGGTAGAATTTGTTTCTTTCGGCTGCGTCGTTCTGCTCCTTTCTAGGTCCCTTTTCGCTGACGGCGTCGGCGTCTGCTGCGAAGGCTCGAACGAAGATTTGTTTCAGGGCCGCGTCCAGGAGTCCGATGATGTCGTCCGTGTCTCCGGCGTGAATGGGATCAGCTGTGACGAGCAGCTGTGGAAAGGATGCTGCCTCCAGCCACTCAGAAGTTGGGAGTCCTTCCATCGGTATGCGGTAATAACTGTATTCGTCACCGATGACCTCGAGCTGTTGCGGCCCTTGTTCTGACGGCAGTGCTTCCTCGGTAGGTTCAAGAAGTTCTGTTCCTTTACCGAAGAACTCGTAAGTCTCTTCTTCTGACTCCTGTTGAACCTTCTCCGGTGTGGCAAGAGCATACTGATTTGGAAGAGGAGGTCCGCCCCAGCTGGTTCCGCGAATTGCCCAGTACGGGTCGACTGCCGCAACATCCGCGGGGGGAAGTGTCGGAGCTTCGGGATGAGAAGGAGTCGGCTGTCCCCAGCCACCTCCTTCGGTAGTTGAGGCCCCCAAACCACCTCCAGTGGTGGCGCCTGCTTCGGTTGTTGGAACAGCGCCCCATCCGCTAGCAGCTGCTTCTTTGGACGTCAGAAATTCTCCCCATGGACCGAGTGCGGGGCTGGGACTTTCCCAGCCTGCTCCGGCTGTTGCGCTTCCTTCGGTTTCTGGTTTTGCAGGTGCTGATTTGCTGATGTCTGCTTCTTCTTCCATTGTTGCAGGTCCAGTGTCAGCAGGGTTGGAGGTTGAGGCAATTGGGACGATGCGCAGTCGCTGAAGACCATCAAAGGCGGGTCGCTCGAGGTCCATTTCTTCGGGATGTGACCAGGTTGGAGGCTCCGTGAGAGTTGTCTCCAGCAGCAAGGTACGATCAGAGTCTCCAGTGGTGCCTTGGGCCGAGAACTGTAGCACGAAAACCCCATCGTCGTCGACAGCCTTGCCAATGTAAGAGTTGTTGTAAAACAACTCAAAGGTTTTATCTCTGCAGTTGCTTCGGATGTCCACTCCGCATTGCATGAGTTGTGCTGTGGAGAGCAGGTTGTACTGCAGATCCGGGACGACCAGCACATCTCCAATGTGAATGGTGAACTTTGTGTCATCGGCCTCAAGGTAAATTTCACCGATATCATATGCCTTGAGTCTGCTGTTGTTGGCGACGGTGCTTTCGCATGGTCGACGCATGCGCTTTGAGTTGCTAATGAACGTTGGTGATCCCACTATTTGTTGCCCGCAGCAGCTATCGAGATACCAAGTGTTGATGTTCTCGCAATTATGGCACGCGATGTTGGCGATTCTCGGTGTGACAACGCGGTCGAAGTCACCAGTGTACGGCGAGAGGTTGATGTACCTTCTCGCGGAAATGCTGGGAGGTGATTCTGGGGTTGGCGGAGGCAGCTCGAAATCAGGTGGGATGTTGGTTGGGCGTTCAATCCAGTCGTGGATTGTAGGGTCGTTGTTTGGAGTAGGTGCGATGGGATTGATGGGCGCGATACGAGGAAATTCGATGTTGTCGTAGTATCGGAATCCTCTGTGACGTCGCGCCATGCAGTTCATGATTGATCCCTTGCTTTTGTCCTTGGATGAAATGCGTGCAGGAGTTTGCGAGATGCTTGCAACGGATGGTGGCGACAAGGTCGCCGTCGCAGCTGGAATCGTTGGGGGCGCCGAAGACCGCTGACCATATGAGTTGTTATTGCGTCTTTTGTCGGCAGCCTTTCGCTTGTAGCACTGATCTATGGTGTGACCGGGCTTTTTGCAGTATTTGCATAAGGTTCTCTTCTTCCCATGCTGCTCCCCTTCAGTCGATCCAGCGAAGAACACTAATTTCTCCCGCTTGCTGTTCTTCTCATTGTACAGGTCGATTTCCTTCTGCTCGGAAAGAAGAGTGGCGCAGAGGGCGGACTCGGAAATGGTTGCTCGAGCGCGGAGCAATGATTGGCATTGGCGCCAATCGGGCGCGAGGCCAGAAAGAACCATCGAGACGAACATGTCGTCGGGGACGGTTCCGCCGCACTTCTTAATGTGATCGCGCAGATTGCGGCACAGATTGATATAGGGTCCCGCTTTCTCCCCTTGTTGCATTTTGACGGATGTCAGCTGACTGAGCAGACGACTCATGGTAACCGGGTCTGTTGCCATGTATGAATTGCGCAGGTGTTCCCAGGACATTTGCGCAGGAGCACACTCCGTTTTATAGGAGCGGATGCCGAGCTGCTCGGAGGGGGAGAGAGTTTGGAGGAGCGCGGTGTATGCGAGGAGGGCTTTGTGGTAGTGTTGATGCTTCTCCTGGACGGTACCTTCTGATGGAAGGGGCAAGCTTTCGTCGTAGTACATCCAGATCTGAACGGTTGTTGCGAGGAGCTCGAATTCGAAGCTCCACGTGTAGAAGTCCTTGTCGTCGAATGGGATTGAGGTCTTCAGCTTTGAAGTCAAAACGAACTTAGTTTGCATAGTTGCGATTGCTTTTGAATGCGTGCGATGTTGACTGTCTTGTACAGGGGCTGAAGCTTGACGGCTATCAAAGGTAAATGATCTCTCGGAGTTGATGCGGCGATCTTTCCCAGGGAGAGGAAGTCCAGCGGCGCCTCTAGCGTAGCTCGAGCCATCAATGCTCATGGCTTGATGGCTTTCAAGTGCATTGATGCGAGTGACAAGCTGTTCAAAGAGAGCGGCGCTGACGGAGGTCACCGCTGATGGCGCATTAGTCGTTGCTGGTGGCGGGCCCAGAGAGTCTGCAGTGGCTTTTCCTTCAGGAGCCATAGTGGTGCAGATTTGTAGTGTAATGAATAATTTTATAAGGAGTTGGTTCTAGGAAGAACAAGGACTTGGCAGGTCTTATAATCCACTCTAGCTCTCATACCATGCTGTTATAACTGAAGGATCGAAGTGGATAGGATAAGCCTTGCTAAGTGTTAAAGGAAAGACAATGAAGTCTTTGAGTAGTGACCTTGTTGAGAGTAATTGAGGGAGAAAAATATGATTTTGTCAGAAACTAATAGGGAAGAATGGATGCATTGAGCAGAAATGAGGTACAAATATGCCTAAACCCTAATTGGGTTGTACCCCTTATAGGCTACCCCACTATAGCCTACACAATATATTTTGACATACCCCCATAGGCAAAGTGGGGGAGAACAAACGGTCACAAGACCAGTCAAGAGAAACAAACCAAGCTCAGGGTGGATCACGAAGTCACCACACATTCTGAGCACAAGGAAAGGGCCACAAGGCCAGTTCACATGCTGAGTTACATAAAACAAGGCAATCAGAACAGTGATAAGCGAGGAGGCAAACAAGGATATATATAGACCACAGTACAAACAAGGTCAAGAAGTGAGCAAGTGAGAAAACGTAGGCACGAGGCCTAGAACAGTACAGAGACGCTGATGATCACCAGGCGAAAGTGCCTTGGTGAAGATATCAGCTGTGTTGGCCCGAGTGGCCATGTAAGCTAGACGAAGCTGGCCACGTTGCTGCAACTCTCGAGCAAGGAAGTAACGCAGAGCGATGTGCTTCGTTCTGTGCTCCAGTCTGTGCTCCTGACACAAGGCGATGGCGGCCTTGTTGTCGACGTACATAACTGGAGGAGAACGAGGCCGCTCTCCCAAGTCAGTCAGCAGGTAGGTGAGCCAGCGTAACTCCTGTGCAGCTATGGCCCCGGCATAGATCTCAGCCTCACAACTGGAGCTGAGAACAGAAGACGAGCGGGTAGACCGCCAAGAAACAGAGCCAAAACCAACGCTGAATGTGTAACCCTGTGACGACCGCTGCGTAGCCAGGTCGTCAACCCAAGAGGCGTCTGAGTGTCCAGTGAGGACAACGTCACCCCGTCCTCCAAGCACCAGCCCCATGCCCGATGTACTGCACAAGTAGCGTAGCACCCTCTTAGCAGCCTCCCAGTGCTCTCGCTGGTGTCTCCCAGGCGCAACGTAGCGAGCCAAGATGCTAAGAGGGTACGCAAGATCAGGTCGAGTGCAGGTCATCAGGTACATGAGGCAGCCCACAAGCTCTGGGTACGGGCCATTCGGCTCTACGGACTCGTCCGAAGGTGGAGCTGAGAGCGAGTGACCGGTAGGCAGAGGAGTGGACTGTGGTGAGGAGAACTGGAAGCCGAAGCGCTGAAGGACCTGCTGCACCATGTGTGACTGAGTTAGGGTGATGGTGCAGCGTGCTCTGTCCCGGGTGATCTGCAAGCCAAGGTAGCTGCGCAACTCACCCAGGTCTATGCACGTGTGTCTCTTCTGCAGCTCCGACTTCACAAGGGCGAGTGCCTCAGTGTCAGTAGTGGCAAAAACCAAGTCGTCGACGTACACGAGGATGTAGAACGGCGTGTCGGTGCGTAGAAACAACGACAGATCAGCGGTGGAAGGAGCAAACCCAAGAGCCGCAAGTGTCGTCCTCAGTGTGTCGTGCCACTCCAAGGCGCCTGACGGATACCGTAGACTGGCCACTTGAGGCTCCACTGGGTACCAGGAGGGAACGACCCAGTGAAGCCAGGTGGGCGGCGCAGCCAGATCTCCTCGTGCAGGCTGCCCTGTAAGAAAGCTGTGCTGAAGTCAAGCGAGTGAAGCTCGTAGTCACGGTGAGCGGCAACGTGCAGCAGCACCCGAAGAGTGGTCATCTTCAGGGTAGGGGATAACGTCTGGAAGTAGTCAACTCCATGTCTCGCTGACTGAAGCCTCGGGCAACGTAACGAGCCTTGAAGACAGGCAGAGAACCCGGCGGCCGCTTCACCCTGAAAATCCACATGCCATCGACTATGTTCGCCCCAGGAGGGGGAACTGCGTCGACGTAAGTGCCTGTGGACTTCCAGGATGCCATCTCTGCGTCCATGGCTGTCTGCCACTGAGAGGAGTAGGGACCCGAAATCGCCTCTGCGTAAGAGCGCGGGGTTGGGATGTCTAGTGCATCCGGGTCTCCCTCAGGTGCAAGCAGCATGGCCACGAGATGAGGTACAGCAGCCGCAAGACACTCAAAGTCCTCCTGCCTGTCCTCAAGGACGTCCGTGCCAAGAGCACACTCAACCCCGACGGACGGAGGACAGACAGACTCAGACTCAGCAACAAGACTAGTGGCGTAGTCTAGACGACATGCAGCAGCAAAGTCCACAAGCTCAGCAACTAAGGCAGACGCAGCAGTAGACTCAAACGACGAGTCATTGACAACAGTAGCCAAGAATCGTGTGAAAGTAGGGCTGGCAGCACGAACTTGGTCAGACTCAGGGTCCGGAACGTGCGGAAGAGAGGACGCAGGAGGAGACGGCAGGGGAACACGCTGTGGAACAAAGGAAGGACGAAGTGCCATAGTGTGAGTGCCTGGCATAGGAGGATGACGCAGACTCGGGACACGACGAGCACGGCGAGCCGTGCGAACAGGGGAGGCAGGACGAGACGCAGGTTCACGACGCTCGGTAAGGGAGGCTGGCTGCTCAGTGTAACGAGGCGGGGCAGGCAGCGGTTAGTCCTGAGGAAGGGCAGTGGACGAAGGAAGACTAAGAACCTAACAGAGCACCGACTCGGGCGGGAGCTCGGACAGCTGCGGCGGCGGCAAGAAAAACGGTCGATGCTTCACAGGGTCTCCAGCTCCACAGCCTCCAGCTCCAACAGCTCCAGTGCCAGCAGCTCCAGCTCCAGCACCTCTAGCTCCTGCACCACTAGCTCTAGCACCTCCAGCGCCAGCACCTCCAACTCGAGCGCCTCCAACTCCAGTAGGGACAGCGCCAGCACCTCCAGCACCAGCGGCTCCAGCACCAGTACCCACAGCACCAGCTCCTCTAGCGCCAGTGGCTCCAACTCCTGCGCCTCCAGCTCCTGCGCCACTAGCTCCAGCACCTCCAGCGCTAGCACCTCCAGCTCCAGCGCCTCCAGCTCCAGTGGCGACAGCGCCAGCGCCTCCAGCACCAGCTCCTCTAGTGCCAATATCTCTAGCTCCAACGCCTCCAGCTCCTGCTCCACTAGCTCCCGCACCTCCAGCGCCTCCAGCTCTAGTGGCGACAGCGCTAGCGCCTCCAGCTCCAGCGCCTCTCCGAAGGCAGGTGAGCCGGGCAAACCACTCGCGCAGCTGCTGTGGGGAGAGGGGCTCACGCTAGGGAGACGGCTGTGGTGAGGCACCCGGACGACCACCAGCAGACGAAGCACTACCAGGCTCAGCACCCCCAGAAGCAGCACCCCCAGGCTCAGCACCCCTAGGCTCAGCACCCCCAGGCTCAGCACCCCCAGAAGCAGCACCCCCAAGCCCAGCACCAGCAGCACCTGAGTCACCAGTGACCTCGACAGGCTCAGCCAAGGGAAGTGGGTCTACCTGAGACACACCTGAAGGAGCAGGACCCTGAGGGGGGAGGGGGTCTACCGGAGGGGGACCTGGAGCGAGGAAGAGTGGCGAGGGGGGGGGGGAAGAGGAGCAGTGCGGTAGGGGAAGAGACGGTAAAAGGGGACCGACTCATCAAACATGACGTCCTCAGAGGGGAAGACACGACGCGAGGTGGGGTGGTAAAACTGCCAGCCAGGCGCGTCAGGGGGGAAGCCAAGGAAGACGCAGGGAATGGCGTGAGAGGAGAGCTTGTCCGCGGAGGTATCGCGGACAAAGGCACGAGAACCCCAGACCTGGAACACCGACGCATCGCCAGCCTCCCCCGTCCAACGAAGTGTAGGCGAGGTCTCCGGCAAGGAGACATGGGGCCAGAGGTTGAGCTGATGCGCAGCGTACCGGACCGCAAACGACCACAGAAAATGGGGAGCAGCCGCATGGATCATGGAGGTACGAGCGACCTCCATGACTAAGCCAATGCGGCGCTCAGCAATCCCATTTTGCTGCGGGGAGGCCGGAAGCGTGAACGACTGGAGGATGCCCTCCCCCTGACAAAAGTCCCTCAAGAGGTCGGAGGAAAACTCACCACCTTTGTCAGAGTGCAGACGCAGGACAGGAAGGTCCGTGCGGAACCGCTCGCGCAGCTGGAGACGGACAGCGCGGATCCAAGGGATCAAGACATTAGGGACCTCCCCCTTGCTGCGCAAGGGGAAGACCGTGGTGTAACGCGAGTAGTCGTCAACCACCAGAAGAAAGTATCGCTCGTGGCCCAATCCACGGACGCGGGCTGGGCCCCACACGTCCAGGTGGAGAGTCTGCAGAGGAGCAGTCGTCGGGGGAAACGAGGAGGAGTGAGGAGCGGCGCACTGCCGCCCCTCGACGCAAGGAATGCAGGGCGGGGCAGGCGAGGGTGGGAGGGAAGGCAGAAACTTGGGAAGACTAGTGACAAGGAGGCGAGAGTGCATGCCACGAAGGCGGGGCAGGGAGGGGTGACCAAGGCAGTGGTGCCAAAGGAGAGTCTGGTGCGACAGGTGACGACACTCGCAGGGGGGAGCTACCTGACCTGACGCGGCCACCTGACCAGACGCAGCAACCTGAGGAGGCTCAGTAGTCAGTGTGTACAGACTCGACCCAGGCCGACGGGTGAACGTGGCCAGGTGACGGCCAGTCCGAGAACACGTACAGATCGCCACACGCTGCAGTCCAGGGGTGAAGGTATCAACCCCCGCATCCTGAAGGACTACGGTACTCTCCAAGTTCGTCGAGAACGAGGGGAGGTGGAGACTTGACAGTGAGCCAGACGGAACCGCCGGACACGGGAGCACAGTGGAGGAACGTGCAAGAACCGGGCCCCCAGAGGGGTCAGCCAGGGAAACTGCAACGGGTCTAGTGAGTGGTGTGACTGTGGTACTGTCACGAAAGAAACAGCGAGAAGCACCTGAGTCAAGCGTGAAGGTGTACAAGGCCTCAGCAGGCGCAGTACTAGAGAGAGCAGACTCACTAGCACCTAGGGCAGCAGCCTCTATACCTGGGTCAGGCGGCACACACAAGTAACAGTCACCCTCAGCACTAACAGACAGAGCATACATGCCAGCAATGATAGCATCAAAGTCAAGAGCTAAGATATCAACACCAGACTTAAGCAGATCCGCCCAGCGGGGAAGTTCCATCTCCTCGCCAAACTCTGCGCGCCAAGCGTCGTCTAAGTGGGAGAAACAGCGGTGCTGGGTGTGAAACTTCCCGCACTTCTGACCAGCACGGTCACCTGTGCAAATGACGTACTGGCAGCGTCCACTACCCCCTGTCGCCCCACGTTGAAAAAGCCACTCACGAAGCTGCTGGGGCGTGAGGGTCTCACGCGGACGCTGCTGCTGCTGCCGCTGAACGGCTCCAGTCCGACCACCACCACCGCCGCCGCTACCACTCCCTCCGCCGCCACAACCGCTGCCACCGCTCCCACAGCCGCCACGACCACCACCACTACCACCCCCACCGCTGCCACCACCGCCGCCACCGACGCCCCCACTCCCGCCACCACTCCCACCGCCACCTCCACCGCCTCCACTGCCTCCACCACCAACCCCCCCGCCACCCCCACCACCCTTGCCTCCCTTGCCCTTGCCGCTGCGGCGCTTCCCACTAGGAGCAGAAGCAGCACCGACCTCCTCAGCACCAAGGAAGTCGACAGCAGCAGCAGAAGCAACAGAGGGGGTAAGGGGGGAGGGGGAGCACCCCACGAGTAGCACCTACAGCCACTATGTTGGTCTCAGCTGCAAGGAGGTGCTTCTCGAGCAGGTCGATAGTGAGGTCGGTGGGGCGAAGGGTGAGAAGAGTGTCCCTGACTGCGCGAAGAGAGTCAGGGAGGCGAGTGACTATAAAGTAGAGAGTGATGTAAATCGGGGGCTCGTTCTTGGGGAGAAACTCGTCTGGGAGGGCAGCACGGTAGCGAGCGTCCATAGCACGGAGGTGGGTGATGAGGTCATCTACTGTGGCGAATGAGGATAGCTCGGGAAAAAGGTAGGTGAGCATGAGGCGGCCATGAGCTGCAGTGGTAGGGGAGGAGTAGCGGACAACTACAGCGTCGTACAAGGCCTTAGCAGTTTTGGCCTGGTCAAAGTGCTCGCGTTTGGCTAGCGGTAGGTGGTTGCGAACGGCTAAGCGGGCGGCAGCGTCGCGGGTAAGCCACTTGGAGCGAGTCGCACTGTAAGCAGTGTCAGGAGGGGCAGAACAGGCTCCAGACGTGAGGTCATACAGTGAAACATCGTCTTTCGAGTCGCTCAGTAAGTACAGTAAGTACAGCTATAGGTCCTGGAGCCAAGTCTCGAACTTAATAGGGCGGCCCTCATGATCAAACGCGAGAATACTGAGAGTGGCCATAGCGCAACCATGCAGCGTAGCGTGTAGGGCAATGCAGGGCAGTGCGCGGGCAGAAATGTGAGCGCACGTGTAGGGCAGGGCCAGGCGCGCGGGCAGGGGAGGGCCTGGCGCGCGGGCAGGGTTTGGCGATGCGCGCGAGTAGGGCAGAGACGGCGCGCGGGGCTGCGGAGGCGGCGTGCGGGGCTGCAGTGGCAGCGTAAGGGCTGCAGGGGCGGCGCGCGGGGCTGCAGAGGCAGCGCGAGGGCTGCAGGGGCGGCGCGCGGGGCTGTAGAGGCAGTGCGTGGGTTGCTGGGGCAGCGCGCGGGGCGGCAGGGGCAGCGCGCAGGCTGCAAGGGCAGCGCGCGGGGCTGCAGAGGCAGCGCGAGGGCTGCAGGGGCGGCGCGCGCTGGCGGCTCAGGGCAGGGCAGGGCGTGGGGTAGCGCGGTAACCGCAGCGGTCACTAGGCGAATTCTAGGTGGGCCCGAAAAAAAACGGTCCTACGGACCTACTGCTCTGAAACCATGTCAGATACTAACAGGGAAGAATAGATGCATTGAGCAGAAATGAGGTACAAATATGCCTAACCCTAATTGGGTTGTACCCCTTATGGGCTACCCCACTATAGCCTACACAATATATTTTGACAGATTTAAGATAGAGTTACTAAGAGATTAAATAGATACCTAGCTAGCCATGTACTCTGAGGGGTACATTCCCTTATTGCAACAGTATTGCATAACTACAGTAACTTGGTTGCATTGCAATGCAACCGTGTGACTATTGCCATTCTTCGACAGTTACTTGGTTGCATTGCGTAACCTCTGATGCGGTTGTCGGTTGGTCAACAGTCACGACTGTTGACTTTCGGTGACTGTTGACCTTCTGGTGTTTCTCAAGCTACCGAGTATTCTTGTACGAGCATGTACTGATACTGATACAGCAGCAAAGCTGTAGTAACCTTTTGGAAATGCTGTAGTAACCTTTCGGTTATTCCAACATGACACTTGTGAGTTGGTGGGCGGTTGTCGACAAGTAAACCATCGATCAAAACGAAGACAAAAAAAAAAAAGCATAAAAAGCAACATCCCGGTACGTATCAATTGTCGCCTGCGAGCTGTAGTGTATTAGAATTGTTAAAATTGTTAGGCTGTAGTGAGTTG